TGGGCTCTGTCCTTCTGTCCTTGTCGGCGTGAAGTATTGGGTTCAGGGCCTTCGGGGGTTTGGGGCTTTGCCCAACCCCTGAACCCTAAAGCCTACACACTAGCCCGCTTAGCTTCGGTCTTGGGGCCTAGGACTTTTTCGGGTTCGAAGTTATTTTGGGGGGAGTTCGTGGGTCCTGCTGGTCTGTTGTTGTGGATAGGACAGGCTATAAGACAGGGTAGGGTTTGCATGTTCAAGGTTTGGGGGTTGAAGTTTTTGGGTTTGAGGGGGTCGAGTTGTTGAAGGGTTTTGGGGGAACTGTTAATTTACATTCGACGCGCAGAGGCTGTTGTGACTGAGGATTCTCTCAGCGGTGTTGAAAGGTACCTTGACAGTTACCGTTTGTAACCTAGCATGTCGCCACCTCGAAGTTAAGGTTTGGGGTTTGGGTTTATTGGGTTTTGTGTGTTGGGTTTGGGGCTTAGGGTTCAGGATTTACTGCAAACAATAACTCCCCTTCTTCTATCCCTCCGTACATGTAGTAAAATCTATCTAAACGGCAGTCAACCCCATTGTATCTCAGAAAGACGGCAGTCCCGGCGAAATAGAATGGCGACGCCCAGGAAACCCTTGTCGCAACAAGACGAAACGCCCCTCAACCTAGAACCCTTACAGAGCCGGAAGCAACCTTTATATAGACTCGCTTGTGGACCCTTAAAGACTTTACCTCTCATCTCGCAAAAGTACTTGGAGGCTCATGGTAATTATAACCCAAATATAACTGGCTTATAACCCCTATTGTAAGTCCCCGAAATACACTTACCCAGGTTATATTTGGGTTATAATTATAGTTATAATTGGGTTATAACTACCATGGACCTCCAAGTAATCCCTAAAGCACGGAGGGGGTTTAAACCCTAAACCCTAAACCGTCGCCAAAGTAGGGTTTAGGATTTCGGGTTCCGGCTGCAGGGCTTGGGGAGCAAGTCCGGGGTGTCATCGCTGAGACTCCTGAGGCTTTAGGGTGGTTTTTGTTTAAGTGTGGTTTTTGGTTTAGGGTTTTAGGATTGAGGCTTTAGGGTGGTTTCTTGTTTAAGTGTGGCTTTGGGGTTTAGGGTTTTAGGATTTAGGCTTTAGGGTGGTTTCTGTTTAAGTGTGGCTTTGGGGTTGGGGTTTTAGGATTTAGGGTTTAGGGTGGTTTTTGTTTAAGTGTGGCTTTGGGTTTAGGGTTTTAGGGTTTAGGGTTTAGGGTGGTTTTGTCTGAGGGTTTTAGGGCTTTACTAAATTTACGCCAAGTGATTGTGATCGAGTGTTCGCCCCTGGCGGAGTCGCAGCAGGCCAGTTGCAAAAGGCTGCCTGGTGCTTAGTAGGGAATGGGGGAATGGATCCCTTATAGTAGTCCCTACAACCCACTCCCTCATTCCCTACTAAGCAGCAGACAGAAGGGTTTTGCACGAGTAAAGCCCTGTAGAAGCCTAAGACCCTGAAACCGAAACACGGAGTGTCCATGACCAGGACCACCTGCTGAAGCACGACACGCCCCCGCATCGCCCCAAACCGCCTGCATCTGGCTTGCGCTGGCCCTCGGCCACTTGGTGCGGACTTGAGGTGATGATTGGTTTTAGCCTTTAGGGTTTTGGGTTCCCGGTCGGCTTTTTGGCATCAGAGCTTCTACATGCTAAACCCTAAACCCTATACGATGGTCTCACGCTTGTAGACGATAGGGTTAGTTCATACAGGGGTCTTAATAATTGGAATAAGGTTTGGGGGTATATTATACTATAGTTATAATAAGGAACCCAAAACCCTATTCTATTTATTAGGACCCCTACATGAGTGACACGTGGGAGAGAGAATTAAATGTGGTCTGCCAGAGTTCAAAGAGCCAAATACAGGCAAGATAGATCCTTTGTAGTTGCTAGTTCTATTCGATTAGGTTAGGGATCCATACTGTATACCCTTGAAACCCAGTTCTAGCTACTAAGGCCAAAGATTAGATCAATATCCTAATCCCTCAACCACATGAGCTTCAGAAGCACGTTGGGTCATCGCAGCTTCTTACTTGTCTTGCACGCGCTCAAAGTTGATTGGGTGTTCTGGTCGAGTTGGTGCCCAGTGAATGTTCTGCCTTCAAGGACGATGGTTCAGGGTTAATGTTTAACAGTTCACATCACAGCTTGGGTTTTAGAAACTTGGCCTCTCTTTCTAGTCTTTGCATCCTGGCCAATAAATGCCTGCACTTTGCAGTGCCTTGCAGTCCTCCAAGAAAGATTCTTACTTGTTTGGAACCGAGCACTAAGTGTGTATGAGCTGCAAGGCATGATGCAATCCGACATAGCGCAAATGTCCAACTAGGCCGCGCTGCCGTCGCACCACACGAAGACCCCGGTGAGCTCATCAGATGCAACTTCAGATGGGTGCATAGCCAATCCAAGAGAGCTAGTTTGCAGCCGTGTTTGTTTTTCGGGCTTGGGGCCAAAAGCCGGGGTTCTTACAACCTCAAGCCCAACCTGAAGCGTAGTTAGGCCACTACCGCAGCACACGCAAGGAAATCCAAACGAAATACTTGTCGACGTTGGAACAGACCCTAAACCCTAAACCCTGAACCCTAAACCTTAAACCCTAAACCCTAAACCCTAAACCCTAAACCTAAACCCCAATGATCCCTAAACCCGAAGATGCTGAAGAATAACCCCGAACGCCTTCAACCCCTGAACCCTTGATCCCTCCCCAAACCCGAGCTCTATGGCTCATGATACGAATTCTGCATGACCTTAAGGACCCTAAACTATGGGAATTATGGTATATTCCTTGTTATCTAGACTATGGGAATTACGGTATATTTCTTGCTCTGGGTGATGCAGGATTTCTATCGTCAACCGTAACCCTAAACTAAGCTCTATGAGCCCGAAACCTTCAATCCCGTGCTCTTCAGAGATGACCTGAGCAGCCGTTGTGGCCTATCATACGAAGCACCCTGAACTCGCCAGTATTGAGGTACTGGTTTAAGGTGTAGGGCGACACAGGTTCGAAGTCCCAAAATACACAGACTGTCAGTACCAAGGTCTTGTTGTTGGAGGGCAACCCGGACCCTGAACCCTAAATTCCGAAACCTCAACGCCCTAAAGCACTAACTCCCAGAATCCTTGTGCACAACTTACGTCTGCTATGTCTTTCCGTGATCGGTATCTGTGCAGGCAAGCAGACAATCCAGTCCAGCTGAGTCCGTCAGTTATGAAAGCATATGAAAGCAACTAGTCGAGGTAAGGCAGTCCAGAGTCGTAAGGAGGGGTTAGAGCCTAGGATTGGAGGTAATTAATTAATGGCAGCAATGCGAGTGTACCAGAATATTCTTGAATACATTGGCAGTCCTGACCCCAGGGACGGAAGACGACTTGCTTTACATGCGCACTTTGCCCACGTTCAACGAAATGCTGCGAGCATCGGATGCCGAGGTGGCAGGTAAAGAGCTGTCTGGAAGTTGAGTCCTTAAGCCCTAAACCCTCAGACCCTAGGCCCTAAACCCTCAACCCTATGGATAGATGGCTGCAAGCCCTAAACCCGAAACCCTAAACCCTAGACCCTAAACCCGAAACCCTAAGCCCTAAGCCCTAAGCCCGAAGCCCTAAGGCCCTGGCCCATCTGCAGGCGAAAGTCCTCTCAAACCCCTGGGGTCTTCTCTACGGCATGCAGCCCTACAGTTGCAACGCAGCGCCCTTTAAAGGACGATCCTTGGACCCACATATCTTAACCTTGAAAACCGTTTAGGGTTTAGGGCTTAGGACTCACAACACAATCGCCCCTAATCCCCAAAAGTGCCCCCTCTCCCCCCAAAAAAAAAGCCGCTAGACACCGTACACCACCACATGACCTCAAACCCTCACCCCCGAACAACGAAAACAGATGTAACACCAAACCGTAAACCATAAACCCTAAAGGTCTGCAGATTTAGGTGTTACCGGTAGGTTTTTTTATTTTTGCATCGAGACTTCCAGCCGAAGGCGCTGATTCCAAGGCCCCAAAGTCAAGGACCAACCCCACAAGGGGTCCTAAATACAAACCTGGGGGGGCCATGAGGTTCCTTTCTGGGTTACTATAACGGGGATTTCCTGCGGAGACCCTACCTTCTGCTCTAGAGGTACTTAGGAGTGCTTACCCAAACTATACTAGTAATTCCGACTATATCGACCCTACTTTCTGCTATAGAGATACTTAGGAGTACTTCCCCAAGCCATAAAGTAATTCCTACTGAGGCCCTACCTTTTGCTACAGAGGTACTTAGGATCCCCTTGTGAGTGCGACACTAGAACCACGAATCGCTAAAGGTAAAAAACCAAGATATCCTGTGTATACCACTCCTTCGCCCTTTAAGCTCGGACAAACCCTAGACCCCTTTAAAGGCTAGAAACCTAAAGCCCTGAACCCTAGACCCGAACCCATATACCCATAAACCCCTAAGCCCTAAACCCCACAGCAAGATCCTTGTCGTTTCGTGCAGGCGCTTCTCTCCTTCCTCACGGTGCCGTACATCAGGACCTCGGGTTTAGGGTTTAGCGGACCTAGTCTCTAGACCCTAAGAGATCTACCCGCCTAGGGTTGTTCCTCATCAAGACCTCGTCATACACGTCCTTAGACAAGGAAAGTTCTGTAGGGTCCAGGCAGGGTTTAGGATTTAAGGAATCTCGGCAAGGTCAAAGTTGATGCTGTAGATGTACTTTGTACGTGGACCCTTGCGGTTATGGAACCACCCAATACCCCAAAACCCTAAATCTCAGGTTCGAAGCCTCGGCTTAATCTCTACTGAAAAGTGAAAAGCCAACAATCTCCTATGTCAAGTACGTCTTTAGTTCTTTTCAAACTGCAATGCGAGAGGGAAAAAGATCCGAAGCCCTACGCCACGCCATAGACTCTAGGACATTTTCAGGTGAGTAGTTACCGTTATAGGAGCCTTATAGAAGGTCTCTATACCTTATCGAAACCTTATAGAAGCCATATACACCCTAAACTCCGCACCTGTAGTGGCTCCTAAACCCTGAACCCGAACCCCTATAAACCCTAAACCCTCTAAACCCCATAAACCCTAAACCCCATAAGCCCTACAAGCCCTAAACCCTCTAATAGACACAAAAAACAAGCAGAAAACCCCGGGAGGATGCCATTGCCATAAGCCCTAAGCCCTAAACCCTCTAATATAGACGCAAAAAAGGCAGAAAACCCCGGAAGGATGCCATTGGTCATGGCCTTCTTCACCACCGGGGATCGCGTGAACTCCCTCTTCGACCGGGGCTTACAGGAGATCCTGGAGGCGTTATTAGGGTTTAGGGTTTAAGGTTTAAGGTTTAGGGTTAAGGTTCAAGGTTTACGGTTTAGGGTTTAGGGTTTAGGGTTTAGGGTTTAGGGTTTTAGGTTTAGGGTTTAGGGTTTAGGGTTTAGTCTTTAGGGTTTAAGGTTTAGGCTTTAGGGTTTTAGATTTAGGCTTTGGGGTTTCGGCTGCTGGACCACGAGGCCTGTTGCAAAAAAGGGTTAGGGGTTTGGGGTTAGGGCGTTAGGGCTTTGGGTTTAGAACTTGGTCCTTAGGGTTTTGAGATTTCAGGTTTAGTTGAAGCTTGCGGATTGACGGTTCATGTTGGATTGGGGTGTAGGGTTGGGGGTTTCTTTTTCGTGGGCTAAGACGACTTTAGAGTTGATCGCAGTATTGAAAAAGACTTCGAGTGTGCCAGCGCGAAGATTGTACTTCATTTGTGAGCGTGCTTTAGCCTTCGGACACGTCCTTCTCCAAGACCCAGAAGTTGCAGCCCTAAGCCCCCAGCCCTAGGGCCCTAGCCTCCTAAACCCTAAAGCCTTTGAGGCGGTTCGAATTTTTCGCAAGAAACAAGAGTCCCATGCATGATTGGGAACTCCGGAGACTTCAATTCTTGTTCATTTTGTGTGTTACGTGCTGCGCCATCCATTTATTCATTGCACATGCCGACGTCTTCGTCCGCAGGGTTTTCGTAGTGCTACCTTTTCCCGAGCGCAGTGGATTTTCGTGTTGCTCGCTGCTGCGTCACTTCTACCTGCTGCTTGAATTTTGCGCATGGCGGCGTGGGCGACTGCATTAGCTCAAGGCTCAAGGCCCTTTCTTCATTTCTAACCCCAAACCCTAAGCCCTAAACCTGCCTCCAACTGTGGAGCCGACATGCGACGTTGCTCATAGAAGCGTCCTTGCTTCCGAAACGAGAAAAAAGTCGGCTGAATGCTCTCACTCGGTATACAGCTTAAAACCCAAAACCTAAATACCAAATCCTATACCCTAAACCCTAAACCCTTTTAATACTATCTTGCACTGCGAGCTGCAGCTCTCCCCATGACAGCCTAAAGCCTTCAATGCTAGTACCTGAAAAAGTTGAAACCGCAAAAGCTGCTTCAACAAAGGAGCGAAGCTTTAAAACCCGAAAACCTTCTGAAAACACTGAAATCCAACCCTAAACCCTAAACCCTAAACCCCAAACCCTAAACCCTAAACCCTAAACCCTGAACCCTAATCCAAAAAAATTGCAGGCGGTGGTCCTGGAGCCGGGGAAGCTCTTGGAGCCGACGCACTGGTCTGACGCACCGGAGCGCTTACTGCCTTTGGGGGTCGGTTAGGGTTCAGGGTTTAGGGTT